ACATGGGAATATAAGCCCAAAACACACACACACACACACAAAAAAAATGTTTGTATAGACCATTGTGTACCTAAGGAAAAGTGTGTTGCCTTGTGACATCATTTGTCCGTCAGAAATGACTTGTAAGTGGTGGTGGGGTGTCTGACATGGCATCTGCTGACCGCAAATCCTGTTACCTTGGTTACAGACAGACTGGTCATAAAAGTAAGGTCACAGAGATCGGGAGGATCTGTCCCTCGAGCGGCTCGCTGTAATTTGATTGACTCGTGGCCCCGTTTGTGCACCCATCACAGAAAATTGAATTATCATGACTGTCATCCAGAGAGACGCACAGCTCACCTCTCCTGTCTTCATCCTTCCATCTCTCCACTCCTCCTCTCATTTACTCCTCATTTTTGCCTCTCTGCTCCTTCCTTCCTTCTTTTCATGTCTTCTCTCGTCTATTTTGTTGTTCTTTATCATTGTTTCTCACTTTTGAGAGTGGTTTAAACGACATTATTGCTGTATCTGAATGCAGATGAGATGAGAGTTAAACGAATACCCAAAAATGAATATTGTCAGTATTTAATGACCCATATGCTGTTTTTATTAGTGGTACATAAATGAGATGTTTGAATAATCTTTGTACTTTTTTGTCTATACAACAACATTTCATAGTGCTCACTGCTTACAAGCTCCAAAAAGGACAAAAAAGATTACACTCTTTTTTCAGTACATGTACTTACAGTGTACTTACCCAAGAAAGTACTGGTAGTACAAGGTAACTACCTGGGTTAAAGTTAGATTTAGGGGTAGGTAATACTTGGTTATTACCCAGTTATTGTAATTGTATAATAAGTACATAGCATGTACATTTGGAACAGGACTGTAAAATTAAGTGCTACCCAAAAAAAACTAAATAAAAGTGCACATATTCAAACTGGTGCAACACACAAAAAACTAATTACGTCAAACTTGATGGTACTCATCAGCGTATCGGTTTTGGTTCTGAATGTGAATGCAGGTCTACGAATTCCCTATAGAGACAGGGTGATGGGGAAAAAATGGATTGGAGAAAACTTTATATTACAGTTGCTTTGCGTTCGCTCTCAAAACTTTTGTGTTCCATCGAGATCGCGAAAGTTTCTCAGGGGCACACAATTTCATTACTGTCGGATCCAATATAGTCGGCACAGCATCGTCTTTTAGTTTCAGTCTTTCTGAAAATCCTGTGTCAAATTGTGCCTTGTTTGTTATCAAATCCGTGGTAAAATGAAGTAAAAAAAATGGACAAAGTTCCTACTGACGCGGTCTGGAACTTTATTAAAAATAAAGTGAATCAAATAAAGTTTATCATTTGGTTTCTACGTAGACCTACATTTGCCGCCCTCATAATTTACACTATGTGTGTGAATCGGTGGGCGGGGCTAAACAGGCAGTGATGTAGAAGCAGGCGTTGATCTTCTTCTGCAGAGGCGGTGTTTAGCCACACTATTACATCATGAAGTGGCACATTCCACAACCTGTCGTTTTGGCAGATTGGGCTTAATATAAGCTGTTTCTAGACTAATGAGAAAATTTTGATTTCTGAAGCTTGCAGAATGTTTTTATAGCACAATGACCTCTTAAATGTCAAAAGATCAAGGGATTCATGACACCGTTAAACATGGTCGTTGTTGTACAGGGTAAAAAAACAAAACAAACACTGCTTAAAGATTCACCCAATATCATCCTTTTGTCAGCACCAAAAACCTTGTGGGCAGCACACCGACAATTCAGACACTAAAGGCATTCTGAGTTTGAGTCCTTTCCCCGATGCCATCCCCCTCTCTTTCTCACATTTCGCTTCCTGTCCACCTACTGTCATATCGAAATAAAGGCATAAAACTTAAAAAAAAAAAATAAATAAATAAATAAAAAAAAGTATAAAGATTGATTTTTGTAAAATTGTCTTTAAATTAGTTTGAAGTTGTATATATTTGGTCAGTCATTACATTATGTGTGTGTGTGTCCAAGACAGGACTGAGAGAGTCAGCGGGTTTTGGATCAGAGAGCGCAGGGATGCACTGCGCCAGATGCCTCTGAGTGTGTGTGTGTGTGTGTGTGCATGTGTGTCTGTCTCTGTGCTAGCTGGTTCAAAGGAAAACTAACACGTCTCGCCTTCTAAGAGTCTTAATAATACATTCTCACTCACACAGATATCTTACGCTACTCCAGGCTTAAATTGACCTTTTTAAATGTGCTATTGCTGCAATTATGGGCATGAGTGAGTAGCCCTGTAAATCGCTCTCTCACTCACACGTCTCTGTCTCTCTCGCTCTCTCTTCATCTTTCAGAGAGCAACTGGTCAGTCTTGCTGAAGGATATGCAGCGTAAATTCATAATTATGATGTATAAGTAATATAAAGCACACCATCACATAAACTCAAACACACACCCAACTCTTTATCTTCATTGTCCTCACAGATATACCATACAAGGATTAGATATGGAACTATTATGATATGATATGCGTGTTATTGTCCCCTGATGAACTGATACAGATGTGTTTAGCAAATATAAGGCAGCTCGTGCTGAGAAAAGTTTTGCAGAGAACATTGGACCCCTGCAGTAAGTGATACTTTGTTTAAAATGGGTCTAATATACATTTTTGTATTTATTTAATTAATTATTTTTTCTGCCCTGAGGTCCACATAATGCTAATAAATTTTTACACGCTAAAAAGCACCCATAATTTTATTTTTCATGATTTATGTACAGTTCTTTTTGCATGTGAGATAAGCAATTGATTTCCTCATTGATTTTGGAAAGGTTTGAGTTGTTTTCTGTAGCTTAGCTACATAAATGGTTTCTTTGGTCGGAGATGTACTGGAAAGTTTTGAATTCTGAAAGTTACAGGATGTTTTAAAAGTTTTCACTTTATTTTAAAAGATAAAAGATTTCTCATGAGTGCACAAGCAAGTCTTTAGTTAGAGACAAGCCTTATTCCTCTTAATTTTCTTCTACAGAACCGTTTTGCCACAGATGTGCAGGAAATAAGAGGATTGTGGCAGGTTTCAGGTTTTGTTTTTTGAATGGATCCAGGCTGGTGACCCAAAACTCATGGGCCTAAACTTGGGTTGCGAAGACCCATGCACTATTTGAGAACAGGTTGACGATCCCTGCAGCTAATGTATTGCGTAAGTGACTGTTGACAGACCGAGCCATGGGAATATTTCCGTCTCTCTCAGTGAGCAAAGCTGAAGCCCTTATTTTGCTCTCTAAACCCAAATGACTCTCAGGGGACTAGACCGTCTCAGAGCAGCTCCCACGACCTCTGACCTCCTACATCCACACACGCAGCAAATCAGAAGAAAAGAGGTGAAGTCAAGCAGGACTGTATGTTAGACTGCCAATGTTGTTTTTTAATGTCTTATCCAATCACATTGTAAAACACTGAGGGAATATGAGGACAGGACATCAAAATGAATCCATAATTAAATCTAATACAATAGATTCATATTTTTCAATGTAATTGTTAGATGTTCTGTGTGTGTGTGTGTGTGTGTGTATGTGTATGTGTGCGTATCTGTGTGTTTGTATAGTGGATTGCTGTGGTGTTGATTGCGCTGATGACCGAGGGCTCTTGTCAGTAATTGAGCTTAATTAATTTAAGAGCCTCGGATTGATTCCAGATCTCAGAGTTTAGTCTACAGTAAAGTAGGTGATAACAGCATCATTTAACCCTGTTTTTAAAGCAGCTTGATTTATAATGTGGTTCCACATAAACAAAACACCTGTTTAATGAGTAATTCACCCCCAAAAGAATATAATTTACTCACCTTCATGTTGTTTCAGATTCTTATGCTGCTGCTTTTTCTGCTGAACACAAAAATAGTTTGAAATTATCTATAAGTACTTGTTATTTATTATATTAGAACTACATATATTATATTTAAAATTATATGTATTTGTCACAATTAATTATATATTTTTAAATCTATTTGTTCATGTAAATTGTGAAATTTGTACATAGTAACACATTTATTGGACCAGACACAGTTCTGCAGTGAATTCGGTAGCATCTACATGCATTAAAGTAATAAATTGACTAGTTACTTAAAAATAAAGCTTATCACAGTGTTCATTTCAGTATCCTCTCCAAAAAGGAAATTGGCAGCAGAATTTTTTGTATGTGTAATAAAACCCTCAGCTACAGTGTGATATTATGGTAATTTCCAAGTTAATGGTCTCCCTTCTGTGTAAATCAACTATTTTGACTTTAATCTTAAGATACAGTCTCTAGGACCTGCTGAAAATTTGACTTTTTTTTGGTTTCCCATTGAATGTGTAATGGTAAGAATGTCATTTATAAACTGTTGTCTCTTTAAAGGCATTTATCAAGAATAAAAACACATTCAATGTGATACATTGACTTATGGAAAGAAGATATCAGTTATTATAGTCTCTTATATTATTAATCTTATTTTTATATTATTATAGCTACTTTGTCTATTTAGTGATTTAATCTGCCACAAGAATATCATATATTTTAATGTATTTGAATGTTTTCATTTGAGCTGATTTTTTTCAGCAACTACTGATATGCAGTCAATTTGATTAATCATGCAATTATTTTATTCCATTTTTTAAATCAATTGACAGCTAGTTAAAACAAATCGGGTCTGATATCACTTTTCGTCGTGTGGAGATGAATGTCTGTGTTTTGATCCTCACGGGAAAGTTGTGAGACAGTCAGCAAAGACTTTGAAATTCATCTGGCATTTACAGACGCAACATTTCTGCTCTATAATCCACTCAAACACAGTGTCTCTGGTGCACCGACATTCTGTGTGTTTGTGTGTGTGGTATCTGTTCTTTTCTGATAGGCCTGATCTGTAATAAAACGTCATCCAGACAAATGGCTCAGTCCATTTTCTTGGTTGTTGGTTCAGAGCTTCGAGCAGCTTAATGCTTAAAGATATTAGATCTGATGCAATTAGAGAACTAATATCCTCTTTGTCTCTGTTTTGTCTGTCTAGGAACGGGTGGAGTATCTCTTTCTGATCATTTTTACAGTGGAAGCATTTCTGAAAGTTATTGCATACGGGCTGCTGTGTCACCCTAATGCGTACCTGCGGAACGGCTGGAACTTGTTGGATTTCATCATTGTGGTGGTTGGGTGAGTACAAGCTCTCTGTGTAACCTGCAGTAACCACTGAGACATAGGAACATGTGCCTTAATCCTATCCCTAACCATATAGTAAGTACATGTAGTTAATTAATATTAATCAGTACTTAAAATAATAACACTGTAACAAGGACAGCTTAAAATAAAGTGTAACCAGAAGTGTTATGAAATGTAATGTTTTAAATATGAAATTATGTTCATGAAACAGAATGATTTATTAAATTCAAAATATATAAAATTAAAATAAATTATAAAAAATAAAAATGAACTTTCTCTAAAAAGACTTATCTAAAGAGGCTAAAAATATATAATTATTTATTCATTAGTCTTTATTTTATTTTATTTGTATTGAATAATTAATATAACTAATTGCTAAAGAGGCTAGAATATTTTATTTTATTATGTTATTTTCAAATATAATTTAAATGTGCATGGTATTGGTTGGTATGGTATGTAAATGTTGCATGGTAGTGTTTCAAAGTAGTGTTAATTTTCAAAAGAAATGAATTGTAAATTACAAAAAAAAAAAAAACTATGTTTAAAAGCTTTTTTCCCATGATTTGCATTTGCTGCATCCAGGGAAAAGTCAAGACTGCTTAGTTAAAATGTGTTTTAACCTGAAATGTAAAATGATAATGAGTCGATAACGTCCTCTTTCTATCTCTCTTTCAGGCTCTTCAGTGCAATATTAGAGCAGGCCACTAAAGGGGATGGTGGGACTTCAATGGGAGGCAAGGCTGCAGGGTTTGATGTAAAAGCCCTGCGAGCCTTTAGAGTGTTAAGACCTCTGAGACTCGTATCTGGAGTACCTAGTGAGTACACACACACACACACGCACGCTCATCTGATGACTGTTGAGTAAGTCGTCCATGAGTCAGGACCGAGAAACTGAGAAAACATGAATTTAAATAAATTTTCATTTCCTTCCTGTAGGAGGATCTGAAACGATTCGAGAATCAGTAATCACAACCCAGAAATCCAGAAGTCAAAACTCTATTAAGCCATTCTTATCAGCATGTGTAGGCACAGATTTTATTGTTGTGTTGGCAAAACCATTTTCTTTCTGATTATTTTTTTCAACACCTAAGTATAATGACTTTTAAACTGTATACTGTAATTGACCTTTTTTTTCAGCTGTTTTGGTTTCACAATGGGATCATGATTAGCTGACTGCACATTATCATTTTATTATCGATAATATTCTGAGTATAAACAGTTAGAATATAAATGCTTCACTCACAAAACAAAGAAAACACTCCATGAGAAAATTGATTATCTACTGTATTTTTCAGATTCCTTTCCTGTGTGCTTGCAGGTTTACAGGTGGTGCTGAACTCCATCATTAAAGCCATGGTTCCCCTCCTGCACATCGCTCTGCTCGTTCTGTTCGTCATCATCATTTATGCCATCATTGGCCTCGAGCTCTTCATGGGCAAGATGCACAGAACCTGTTTTTTCTTCAAAGATGGACACAAAGGTCAGGATTTTAGGAGTATTTGTTCCTTCCTTGTTCTAGTCATTGGCTCCAGATCAACTGACAGAATCCTGTTTTCTTTCAGGTCCTATATCTGAAGAGAAGCCAGCCCCCTGTGCCCCAAACTCGGCCCATGGACGACATTGCACCCCGGCCAACGTAACGCAGTGCATGATGGGATGGGAGGGCCCAAATGATGGAATCACGAACTTTGATAACTTTGCATTTGCCATGCTGACTGTGTTTCAGTGCATCACGATGGAGGGCTGGACTGACGTCCTGTACTGGGTGAGTCTGCTCCAATAACGACACACTACACCTAATGACTGTATAAGCACACATGGTCTCTTTACTGAGAAAAGACACATGAATGAGGTAGGGTTATGAGTATCTCCCAGTGTCTTTAGTTAAAAATTTGAATTTCTTTCCTAATTTGGAACAAATCCTGTAATCCTGAACTGTAAAAATCAAAAAAGAATTAAAAAAATGTTGAGTTTCAGATTATTTAATAGGATCTTCATTCCAAATTAAAATGGAAATTCTATTAGGAATCCACATCCACTTTTGCGATTTTTATTTATTCGTTTATTTATTTTGTTTATATGTATTTTTATGACTAGGTGAGTGGTGTGTATGTTACGGCTCATAACACAATACGTACGAGTCACTGGCCCGGGCCAGTACTGCTTTGCCACTGAAAATTTGACATTCATTGATTTTGTACATCCATTTTTATACCTTGCAGACTTAAACCTTTGGATTTTTGTGATATGTTTTACATGGAAAATATTCTGCTGATTCTTCACTGTGATTATGTTTTTAATTTGCAGAAATTACTTGTAAAACATCAGTAAAAAGTAGGGCTGTCAAGTGATTAATCACGATTAATTGCATCCAAAATAAAAGTTTGTTTACATAATATATGTGTGTACTGTGTGTATTTATTATATAAATAATACACACACATGCATGTATATATTTAAGAAAAATAGTATATATTAAATATTTATATTTTTGTATATAATATAAATTATATAATATTATATAAAAAGTATATAAATTATATACATATAAATATGTTTAAAATGTATACATGTGTGTGTGGATTTTTTTATACATAATAAATAGACACAGTACACACACATATATTTTGTAAACACAAACTTTTATTTTGGAAGCGATTAATCATTTGACAGCCCTAGTAAAAATGTGCTGAAAACTACAAACCAATATTTTGCATCATATGACATAATTTTCTAGCGAAACAGTGTTTAAATATAGCTGTAGAATTTTTAATACTTTTATTGAATTAAAAAGTTGTAAATAAGACAAATATAAATATTTCTAGCACAAACATTGAACATTCTAATATGGTGGAGCCACTGAAAATGTTTGTAAAAACCAGAACTATTGACCCGACTCACTAACAGAAAAAATCCTGTTGAGCCCTGTGTGTGTGATCACTGCTGCTCTCTACAGCCCATCTTTATCATCTGTATCTCAGTCCTCTGCACTCTTCCAGATACTTAAAGTGATTGACGGTTTTCCTGATGACATCTTTTAAAGCAGTCAAACAGACTCAGCTGAACGTCTCTCTCTCTCTCTCTCTCTCTCTGTCTTTCTCTCTGTTGAATATGCTCTATGCTTCATGGGTTTTCTTGATGTTCTGGGTTTCTGAGGGACCAGCATGTGCTGTTCACTGCACTCGTTTCCGCTGACTGTCTTCCTCTCCTCTCCGCTCCACACTTCTTTCTTTTTTCTAACTGTCCCCTCCTCATCTCAGATGCAGGATGCCATGGGTTATGAGCTTCCGTGGGTCTATTTTGTCAGTCTGGTCATCTTTGGATCCTTTTTCGTTCTAAATCTGGTTCTGGGTGTGTTGAGCGGGTAAGCATTGTGTGCTGAAAGTGTGTGTGTGTGTGTGTGTGTGTGTGTGGTTTTTTGGACAATAGAACAAGCTCTGACTGAACTCTGATCAAACACATTTTCTTTCTCAAAGCACTGGGATTAAGCGAGCCAGAGAGGGGTTATGTAGAACTGCCCATGTCCAGCAGACACATACTAATCATTCATTCATCCCTCTTCAACTGTACCCCTCCATCCATCCCTCTCTCCCCCCATACTCCATCCTTCCCTCCATTCCCAGGTGAATGATGCTGTAGGGAATTCCTGGCCATGGCTTTATTTTGTCACTTTAATCATCATTGGCTCCTTTTTTGTTCTTAATTTGGTTCTTGGGGTTTTAAGCGGGTAAGGGACACTCATTCATTCTCTCTCCGTCTTCTTTATTTCTAACTCAGTTTTTATCGTTTGGAGGGAGTGTGTGTGAGAGAGATCTGTTATCTTCCTTATCATCTTTTTTGTGTTTAAAAAAAGGCTGTACAAACAAGGGTCAAAAGTGTTTTGTTTCCCTTTTCCCCTTAAATACACATTCATGGTCTTGTTGTGAGTGAATATCTTGCTCTGTTTATTGCAAGAAACACACTGCTGTACAAAAGTTTGGGGTCAGCGAGATTTTTGACATTTGTATGTGTGTATATATATATACACACACACATATATACAGTATGTATATGTATATATATATATATATATATATATATATATATATATATACACACGCACACACATAATTATTACAGCATTTAACAATATTTAAATTTTTTGCTGTATTTTTGACTAAATTTACGAAATGCAGCCTTGGTGAGCATAAAAAACTTTTGAACAGTTGTTTAGTGTATGTGTCCTAACAGAAGTATTTTTAATATTTAATTGCACTTTTAAAATATTTTTGAATTGAATTTCAGTCTGTTTATTTTACGGGATGGATATTTAGTGGAAGTCACTCTCTTTCCGTTTCTCAGAGAGTTCTCTAAAGAGCGAGAAAAGGCCAAAGCTCGCGGCGATTTCCAGAAGCTCCGTGAGAAGCAGCAGCTGGAGGAAGATCTGAAGGGCTACCTGGACTGGATCACGCAGGCGGAGGATATCGACCCTGAGAACGATGACGAGGGACTGGACGACGACAAGCCTAGAAATCGTAAGTATGAAGCAGGGAAGCACCAGGGTGGGGCAAATTGATCTGCTCTGAGTTTTTTATCTGAGACGTCTTGCAAAAGCGTTGGTTTTGGTTTTAAATGCAAATGAGGACATTGAAATGGTACCTTTTAGGAGTTACAGTTTTAAACTCTGACTTTGCTGTTGTTTTAATTTATACTTAGTCTGAAAATACTTCCAGATCTATAAATACTGACATGAGATATTGTCTCTTTTATCTCTGGCCCTTCAAGCATGATCAAGGCCTGATATCCTGATGTTCAGTTTCTACATAAGGGTAAAATTCAACAACAAAAAAAATTGTCTATTAGCTAGTTTGACATGCCCATATATGATATTTATTGTCATTACGGAAACTGTATCCATTTTCTATTTGAAAATAAACAGCAACTCACCTTAAATATTGATTGTGAGGTTGGCTGCCAACATGCTCCAAAAACTTCTTGCTTGCTGTGACAGATGTAATTATTAGCTCATATTACTGTATACACAATATTCAGATATGTTATGGATTGTTTCAGTTGCAAATGAGAGTTCTCCATCAGAAACTCACCACAATCCAAAACTTGAATGAAAAGATGAATGTGTTTGTGTTTGTATTTGGGCAGGTTTTGCTATCCATATTAGGAATACAATTTTTAGAAGCAAGCAGAAGCAGACCAAACGTCCTTGTGGGGGACAAAAGGTTCACAAAACGTCTAGACAGTAATCTGCAGTAGATAGAAAAAGATGTTTAAAATGCCAGTTTTAGGCTTAGGGTTGTATCATTTGTTTATATTAAGAATAATAAATATGAATGGGAAGTCCCTTCAGGGATATACAGTATATATAGAGACTTTTGTGTGTGTGTGTGTGTGTATTTGGATTTATTTTTGACTCTGGTATTTCAGAGCCTGAGATTGTGTATTGTCAGTCCAGCCCCTAACTGAGATCAGATGGGAAAACGCTTTCACACACAGACAATATAGAGAGATATACTGCAGTCCACATGCTGACGCACATCTAGTGGCACAAAATAGAACTGCACCTCAGATTATTTGTATTTTTTGTATTATAAACAGTGATGTTTAATGTTAAGTGTTTTGTGTCAAGTGTCTTGAGTTTTTTTATGACCGCCTTTTTTAGCTGTAAATATTCGGGACAGAGAGGGCTGGTGGCGTCTTTTTCTGTCTGACTGTGTTTGTCTCTGACTGTTTGAGTCTCGCTCTGTTGTTTTCAGGGAAGACTCATCGTTTACAGTACATCCGTGGAGCGGTGAAGAAAAAAGCAGCTCTGCTTCGTAAGGCGTGTGCGTCTCAATAGCAATCACGGTTTACTTTTGCGTTTGCATGGGAAAAGTGCAACAAGACCTTTATACTGACCCCCGACCCATCCTTCCCCGACCAGACAGGTCAATCTGGGTACAGAGGGCGATGGGGTCTCCCTGCTTAGTTCTCCGTATTTTACATTTCTGAATGATGATAAGCATGAAAATCTGAGAGGTTTGGAATTTAGACTCACTGCTCTTTTGGGATGGTATAAGTTTTTCTGTTTGAAATATCTGGACTTTTAGCATGTCGTTTTTTTCTCCAGGTATTTGAATCAGAATCTGGTGCTTTGTAGTAAATTTTAGTCACACATCAGGATCCTGTTCCAATGTGATCTGCATGTGATGCCTAGATAGAAACAGTTCTGCTTTGCACACCACGGTTCAGAAGGTTGTGATTTCTCTTTAACAGCCATTGTGAGATGTTAATAGAAATAGTTTGCAAAGTATTATGGACATTTTTCTCCTGATTTATGTTGCTTTACTCCCATCTACTTCAGATTTGTTTAGAGTGTTTACGTTATGTATTTTACCTTAATTAAAAATTACAAGAGTAATATTCATTTCATTTTAAACGCATCAATTTTCACAATACATCATCAGTATACTGATGATGTAATGTCACTGTTCGACATCTGTAATCCTGTCTCAGAAATATCCGCTCAAACATAATCCCATAATCCCATTTCCAAGGGTGGTGTAGTCTGGATGATTGTGTTTTTTTTTTTTTATTAAGAAATAGAATTGGGGGAAAAGATCAGAGCCAATGAAAATGCAGCATGGAATTTAGAGACCCTGCTTGACCCCGCCCCCTGTGCATGTTAATGAGATGGAATTGTAGGCCTGCATGCTGATTGGTAGATTAGCATTTTTTTGAGTCTTTTACATTATGTATTTGGGTAAGTTTGTCCAACTTTGGTTTTGTTATGAAATCTGAATGAACCCATCCAAATCATTGTGTTTTATAATTCTGTTGGTTTGAGGTCTAGTTTAATTTAAGATCGATTCACAGACTTAACACCCATGACGCACAGTATATGTGTGTGTTGATGAAATGTGGTATTTGATTCTTTTCAAACACTTTTTGGGGCAGACAATCTCACATATGGTCCATATTAAACATTAAAGGTCACATCTGAGCATGGATATGCTGGCTGTCATCAAGACAGCTGAGTCTATTTAATAAGAACTGGCTCAGTAACAACTTTCTTTACATATGTTTTTTATTCTATCTCTTTTTTCTTTCTACCTGTTTAACAGGTATAATTTAGCACGTTTTATGTTTTTATATTATGACTTTATTATACTTTTGACAGCTTTTAACAGCTGAATTTATCATTTAGGCTTTTTTTTATTAGTGACAAACAGCTTTGTGTTTCTTGAAGCATCATATACAAAACAATCTAATCTGTTTCTCAGTAAAACTGCACCTGTCACAAACATTGTGAACAAACACTGTAATTTGGTTCCTAATGTGTTATTTTTGGTGGCTTGCTGTGAGGAATATTTTACATATGTAAAAAACTATAGGCACCTTAGATAAATGCAAAAGTCATGGCAGATATGTTTTCTTTAGTTAACTGTCACCTCGCTTAGTAAGGTTCAGATTATTATATGGTTAGACTTATGTGTTATGTTATATGCATTATGTTAAACTACATTTTACTTACCTCTCAAGGCCAGTTTTTACCTACATTTGTCAATTGGTAAGTGTTGATTTTGAACCCTGGTCATTTCTGCTGTCAGTGTGCTCAAGTAAGTGTCCTTTAGAGGTTGAAAGTCAGTTTCTTGTGTGTGTGTGTGAAACCAGCCTTTGATGAGCAATGAGTATCTTCTTTTACTGGTAATTCATCACACTCTCTCTCTCCCTCTCTTTCCCTCTCTCTCTCTCTCATGCAGTGAGTATGCCGGCCAGTGAAAATGAGTCAGTGAACACTGATAATGCTCCAGCTGGAGACATGGAGGGAGAGACCTGCTGTACTCGCATGGCGTAAGTCCCCACAGCATCCCGTTCCTCCTCTTTTCTCCTCCTCCTTCTGTTCTCCTTCCTGATCATCTCTTCTCCTCTAATTCCTCAATGACTTAATTTTTATTTCCCTCCATGCTTAATTCTCTTCAGACATACTCTTTTCAGTATTCAAACGTTTACATAGATGTAAGGTTGAGAGCTAGTTTTAAATGGTTTGCTGGTAGGCGAGGTCAGCAGGGCTCAGTGGGCGGCTCCTGGCGCTCCCGTGATCTTCAGTGTCATTTTTTTTTCTCTCTGTGCATCTGTTGCTGTCGTCTGTTTTCCAGCTGATCTGCCCTGTTAGTGATCAGTGTTTTATGTCACAAACACAGACAGGAACATTTATGCAATACACAGCCATAAAAGTAATTATATATAAACATTCCCACAGATATTAAAAATCTGTGCACAGTTAAATCATAAGAACTGTTTAATTTACATACCACAAGTTGAATGTAACAAAAATGTATCACTGTAAATGATGAGTCTTTGCTGAAAACAACATTTGTCAAGGCAATGCAACACACAGTGTGATGTTTCTATCTATCTATCTATCTATCTATCTATCTATCTATCTATCTATCATATGTGGGTGGCACTCAGTTGCTCCTGCTCATCATCATGGGGGCGCTCTGAAGTAGTGATGATGTATGATCAGGCCCACCTGACTGCCCTCCCAGTTCTGCTGTCTCTGTGGAAACACTGTCCTTCATAATGTTGTGTCTGTTCTGTATGTATAATACATTCTGTTTTCCATTCCAGAAATAGGATCTCCAAATCCAAATTCAGGTTAGTACATTACATACCGTCTGAAGGCGAGGTTGCCTTTCTTACTGCTCTTCATATATATATATATATATATATATGTGTGTGTGTGTGTGTGTGTGTGTGTGTGTGTGTTTGTTGTGTTTCAATGCCAGTGTTGTGTTTTGTTCATCACGGTTGCCCTCTGATCAGTGGCTGAACATCCATTAACAAGTTCAGACTGCCAGTGTTATTCAGGTTAGATTTGTTTGCTACAGACGCCAAAAGAATTGAGAGCAGCAGCATTTTCAATCACTGCCAGTACAAACACACATAGTTGTTATGTTTCCAGAAAGTGCATTTAGTGAATACTGAAAGGATATTTATCCCGGCTGGTAAGAATGGAGTCAGATTGTACAGACTTTGAATTTGGAATGTTTTATATTCTATTTCTCTCTCTGTTTCTCTGTCTTTGTTTTGCAGTCGATATTCACGCCGATGGAATCGGTTATGTCGGCGCACGTGCCGTGCAGCAGTGAAGTCAAATGTGTTCTACTGGCTGGTGATTTTCCTGGTATTTTTGAACACACTTACCATTGCCTCTGAGCACCACCAGCAGCCAGAATGGCTCACCAATGTGCAAGGTACTCAACTCTACAATATCGTATATATTTCAATATACAATAATTTTGCTACTGAAATATATAACAATGCAGCCTTGAGCAGTCAAATATTTATAAAAGTGTATGTGTGATGTACTTTATATTTTGATTAGTTGTCTTTGGCGAAGCTACTTTTATGTCTCCCATATCTTGTGTCTCTCAGAGCTCAGCAGTGACCAGCCCATCTCAAAAAACCCCATCTAATGTTGTTACGTAATTGATATCAGAACCTTGGTTTGATTTGTCTACACTAAGGAACTTAGACAACCGAGGAAGCTCTGTTAATAACTACTTTAGCTATTTTAGTAAATAATGCAGTTATTATTCTGTGTGATGTCACACTATATTATTATTATTTTTTTTTTTTAATAATCGCTTTTTAAAATGAAAGCTGTAATATTGTATTGCAATTTAAAACGTTTTTCTATTAGTTTCATATATTTTCGAAAGTAATGTATTCCTGTGATGGCAAAGCTGATTTTTCAGCAGCCATTACTCCAGTCTTCAGTGTCACATGATCCTTCAGAAATCATTCTAATATGCTGATTTGGTGCTCAAGAAATATTTCATATTATATTATATTATTGCCATTGTTGAAAACAGTTGTGCAGCTTAAAGGGATAGTTCACCCAAAAATGAAAATTATGTCATCATTTACTCACCCTCATGTTGTTCCAAACCTGTATGAGTTGTTGAACATAAAAGAAGATATTTTGAAGATTGCTGGTAATCAAACAGTTGGTGGTTGCCATTGACTTCCATAGTATTTTTTTTTCCTACTATGGAAGTCAATGGCAACCACCAACTGTTTGATTACCAGCAATCTTCAAAATATCTTCTTTTATGTTCAACATAAGAAAGCAACCCATACAGGTTTGGAACAACATGAGGGTGAGTAAATGATGACAGAATTTTCATTTTTGGGTGAACTATCCCTTTAATATTTTTTTGGAAACTGTGATATTTTTTTAACATTATAAAATGTCTTTACTGTCACTTTTGATTATTTTAAGTACTAATTAAAGTATTAATTTCTTCTCTGTGTCTCTGTATTCAAAATAAATCTCATAGTGAATGGATGTGTTGTGTCTGTGTTTACAGAAATCGCCAATAAGGTGTTGCTGGCTCTTTTTACTGGTGAGATGCTGCTGAAGATGTACAGCCTGGGCCTACAGGCCTATTTCGTCTCCCTTTTTAACCGCTTTGACAGTTTTGTGGTGTGCGGTGGAATTCTGGAGACTATCCTGGTGGAAATCAAGATCATGTCACCCCTCGGCATCTCTGTGCTGCGCTGTGTGCGTCTGCTCCGCATCTTCAAGATCACCAGGTATGTGTTAAAGGGTTAGTTCACCCAAAAAGGACAATTCTGTCATTAATTAATTACATGTCGTTACAAAACCGGTAGACCTTCATTCATCTTCGGAACACAAATTAAGATATTTTTGATAAAATCCAAGAGCTCTCTGACCCTCCAATAGACAGCAAGGTTCCTAACGCGATCAAGGCACAGAAACTTAACAAGGACATTGATAAAATAGTCCATGTGACATCAGGGGTTCAACCGTAATGTTATTGTAAATGTTTTTGTGTGCAAAGAAAACGTATAGATAGAATTTATGGGTGAACTATCCCTTTAAAGACATGTGTTTTGCTAACTGTGGGGTGTGACTTTGTTATTAATGCTGACTGGTCTCTCTCAGGTACTGGAACTCTCTCAGTAATCTGGTGGCATCTCTGCTGAACTCGGTGCGTTCTATCGCATCCCTGCTTCTGCTGCTCTTCCTGTTCATCATCATCTTCAGTCTGCTCGGAATGCAGCTCTTTGGTGGCAAGTTCAACTTTGATGAGACGCGCCGCAGCACCTTCGATAACTTCCCCCAGTCTCTCCTCACCGTCTTTCAGGTTCTGCCACAGTCTGAACCACAGGACACACTTTTCATGCGTCTTCAAACCTGACCCATGTTTGATTTTGTGATTGTAGATTTTGACCGGAGAGGACTGGAACTCTGTGATGTATGATGGGATCATGGCGTACGGTGGACCCTCCTTTCCTGGCATGCTTGTCTGCATTTATTTCATCATCCTCTTCATCTGCGGAAACTGTATCCTAAAGAAAACTTGTTTAACACAACGATGTGACACAAAATAAAAGTATTGATTATAAAACTGATCAAAACGCTCCTGAACTCTAAACAGACATCCTCCTGAATGTCTTCTTGGCCATTGCCGTGGACAACCTGGCAGACGCCGAGAGTCTGACATCAGCGCAGAAAGAGGAAGAGGAGGAGAAAGAGAGGAAGAAGCTAGCCAGGTACAGTGACTCACAGTTCACATGAGTGCAATGCTATGAGATGGTCTGAGGGCCTGTAAAACCTTCCTATGAAGATTTCCTGTCCCCTGCTTAATGAGCTCATTAAGTGTATCGGTTATGACTTCATTAATTTACCATTAAGAAAATTAAGTTTAATTTTACAGAAGTGTTTTTGCCCCTCTGAAGAGCTGTAAATACAGGTGCTTTGTGGAACCGTAAAGCTGCACTCGCACACATTTATGATGCAATTTCTGTCTTACAGAATGGCCAGTCCAGAGAAGCGTCAGGACTCTGAGAAACCACCTCTGGAGGATGAAAAGAAAGAGGAAAAGATTGAACTAAAATCCATCACTTCTGATGGAGATGCGCCAACTGCCACTAAGGTCACTTTCAAGAGGCCACATAGAAACACAGATTAAAGGGCACCTATTATGCCCCTTTTTACAAGATGTAATATAAATCTCAGGTGTCCCCAGAATATGTCTGTGAAGTTTCAGCTCAAAATACCCCACAGATCATTTATTATTTCATTTTGAGTGGAAGCAGAAACACACTGTTTTCGTGCATGTCTCTTTAAATGCAAATGAGCTGCACAGCTTGGAGTGGCAACAAAAACATGATAAAAGACACTAATATTTAAAATATTGTTTTCTGTAATTACAAAAATTACATATAGACCACAGACACAAATACATAGACATCTACAGATGCAAACTGTTTGTTTGTAATGATGAATTAATCTTTTTAATTACCTTATAAATAAATATTTTTTTAATTATTAAAAATGTATAATATTATAAAAATATTTAAAAATGGCTTTTTATTGTTTGCCTTCTGATTTTAGATCAACATAGATGAGTACACGGGGGAGGAGAATGAGGAGAAGAATCCATATCCTGTGAACGATTTCCCAGGTGTGTTAAGAGAAAGTGTTAAAAAAAATGTTGCCTTTTCATTAAAAAACTGAAGAAACAGTCGAAAGCAATTCCACAGAAGAGCCCAGGCCTGTTTTATTCAGCTCTGGGAGCACTCCATGTGGATTGTTTTTCGGTTGAGCAAAGATCCTTCTTTTTACTCTTGTTGATTCCCCCCAAGTTCAACACATTTCCTGGTCTGTGTCATCTTCACTTTTTTTTTACAGTAATGCAAAGACGTGCGTGGAAATGTTGAGGGATGATGCGTGGAATTCTTTCCAAAAAGTCTCTCATGTTTGTTCTTTTCAGCAGGAGAGGAGGATGATGAGGAGCCAGAGATGCCAGTAGGTCCTCGTCCACGTCCACTCTCCGACATTCAGCTGAAGGAGAAAGCTGTCCCCATGCCAGAAGCCAAAGCTTTCTTTATTTTCAGCGCCACTAACAAGTATGAAAACCACATACACACTTATAGACCTTGATTTCCACATCAGTCTCTCAAACCCATTTTTTCCGCTCTGTCTCTTCTGTAGGTTCAGGGTTTTGTGTCATAAGATTGTAAACCACAACATCTTCACCAATTTAATCCTGTTCTTTATACTGCTGAGCAGTATTTCACTGGCAGCGGAGGACCCAGTGAATAATGACTCATTCAGGAATCAGGTACACACAGACACACACTGACATGTACATCACTTTTGTAGTACTGCTGTTATGAGGCTTTGATATGTGCATGTCTTTCTTTTTCTCTGCTAGATTCTAGGCTATGCAGATTATGTGTTTACAGGAATCTTCACCATAGAGATCATATTAAAGGTAAATGTACATTTTAAAGGTACAAGTGTCCCAGTTCATTTCATGCTAATAATATCTTTCCTACTACAGCCTTCTATGTGTTTTTTCATACTCTAATTCCTCACTGACTCTCCATTTGTCCACTGTTCCTCTCAGATGACAGCGTATGGAGCATTCCTACATAAGGGTTCATTTTGTCGGAATTATTTTAATATTTTGGATCTGGTGGTGGTCAGTGTGTCTCTGATCTCCTCTGGAATTCAGTAAGTATCTTTTGCCAAACTAACTGACAAACTAACTAGTACTACTGCTTCTCATGTCACAAATAACATATTCAATGTCACCCTTTTTAATACCAATGTCCAATCAAATGCTATTTATGTCCACCAATTCAGTGTTGTTATTGTTAAAAAATCAAAATAAAATAAAATAAAAAGTTATTTCAGTTTTATATATATATATATATATATATATATATATATATATATATATGTGTGTGTGTGTGTATATATATA